TGCGATTGGCACAGGACAGAGCGGAGTTTAGGACTGTTGTACATAGGGTCGCTATTAGTCGCAAGCAACTCGATGGCACATAACAACAACAACAACAGCTGGGTACCATTTTACTATGTCTGTACTGCCTGTTCAATGAATCTGAGGACAATTGGTCCCCCACGTTTATGTGGCAACATTAGACCCTCATCCATTGCTGGTGGCAGTGAGAAATGGGAACGCTGCTATAGACAGGTTCATTGGTTACTCAAAGAGTTAAAATTAACCATGTTACCCAACTAGTTCTATACCCAGAGGAATTGAAAACAGGAATACAAGCAGAATCATAAATACAAATGTTCATTGCATCATTGTTCACAATATAGCTAAAAGATGGAAATAACTCAAATATCCTGTCTTATCAGAGGTGTAGAGAAACAAAATATGCTGTGCACATACAGTCTTAAAGTCTTAAAAAACAAGTCTTTATACCTGTTCTAATATGGATGGTTGAGCTTTGAGAATATGCTGATAGAAATTAAGTCCATCACAAAAAGACAAATTCTATATAGTCTTATTTATGTGAAACAATGAAAGCCATAGTAACTAAATCTTATTAGTACGTACAAGGAATAGAAGGGGAGGGAGAGGAAAAAGGGAAAGTCATTGCTTAAGAGGCACTAAATTCCTGTTAATGGTGGTGAAATAATTTGTAAATGGCTAATAAAAATAGTTGCACAGTACAGTAAATGTAACCAGTGTCATTGAACCATACATGTAAAAAATTGTCGAATTGGCAAATGTTTTGTTACATGTATCACTGTCACAGTAAAATAAAGAAGCACATGGCAGTGGGTCCCTGCCAGACATCACTCACGTGTCCCACTCTGTCCTCTCCACCATGACCTCGTGGGTGGAAATGGGCTCCTTGCCTGTGACAAGACTGCCCCGCGGCCCATATGGTAATAGAAGTTTCCAGGCCTGGGCTGGGCCTTATGCACCAGTGGCTCTGCCAATCACACACAATTGCCTTCTGTTGTGTTTCCACAGTTACCTCTAAAGACACTGCGGTGAGAGGACAGATGAAGCCGAGGCCCTGTGAGGCCCCAGGGGTTTCGTGTCACCAGAGGGCCACCCAGGAGACCATGTCAGACCCCATCTCACTCAACTTCAGCGACATACAGGCTCTGCATGGAGCATTTATTTATTGTAAATAGATGGTTTGCACAGGCTTTAAATCGGTATTGTAATCAACTTTTATTTGCATCATTTAAAAAAAAAACAAAAGCCCCTCATTTTTTCCATTTTTTAAAAAAATGCACCCTAGCATTTGTCTGTGAGTGCAGTAGCACCCTGTCCCCACCCCATAGCACCCCTCCTCCCAGGACGGCACAGAACATGTGTGTGGGCTGGCCCTCCCTAGGTTCTGAAGCCTCCTCAGAGGAATCTTTCACTTTGAGTAGTCCCCATATCATGGCATCCACCAGCTTCTTATTGGCATGCTTTCATATTTTCATTGCACCCACTGCAAAATCAAACCAAATAATGCCTTATAACTGATGCAGCTCAGAGAAAGCCACACCCCCACGTCCCCCAGTGATGCTTCCCCAAAGCTCCAATGAGACACCACGTCTCATGACCTGTCTTGCCAGTACAGGGATTTTTTTTTTATTGTTCTTTTTTGCTGCCTAATGTAAGTATGATACAAAATGAAGGCAAAAAGGGGCTTGGCCCCTCCAGTGCCGACCCCAGGGTCCCTTTTGTAACTACAAGTAGCCAATGCTCTGTTTACAGTTCCCTTGTCTCTATGACTTTCCTCCAGTCCCCCCTTAGTTCCCAGCTTGTCCTGGCAGCCAAGGGGAGCGTCATGGTATTTTGGTTATTTTCTCTGCAGGTTAGAAACAGAAGCAGCTCAAATTGTAAAGTGCTAATTCTATCTCAGAAGTGTCTCTTTATTCCCCTCAGTGCAGGATTTGCATGGAAAAAATTACATGAAAATGTGAATATTCAAATGTATGATGCAATGGCTGCCTCAAATATCTATTTGAGGTGGGAGTGCTCCCCACCCTACTTTAGGGAATTTGGGACTATCCCTTAAACCAGCCCTAGTTTCCTTCTAAAATAAAGGAGAATGGAATTGGGGAGCTGACCCCACAAGTTCCCCAATCCCTGCAGCAGATGACTCTCTGTGGGGAGAGGTATGTCTCAGGCCAGCCCAGCCCTGAATATGGAAATGAACAAGACAATCCTGGTTTCCCCCACAC